CCCTTGCCCCCCCGCAGTGCAGACGAGGTGCTGCTGAAGCCCAGCGGGGCGCAGCTGACGGTCGAATACCTGGAGGAGAAGAGTTTCAGCGTCCCCATCCTGGTGGCCCGCAAAGAGGGGCTGGGGATGACGTTGCCCCCCCCCAGCTTCGGCCCCCGCGACGTCGAACACTACGTGGGTGAGTGGGGGCGGGGGGGGGATTAAAGGGGGGGGTCCTGACCCCAAATCTGACCTCAGTCTGCCCCTATATGACCCCAAAATGAGGCCATGAGACGCTTTGGGGGGTTTGGGGCTCAAAGGACCCCCCCCCAAGTTCTCAATATTGGGGTTTTGGGGGTGTCCCCCCCCAGAAGAACAGACATTGAGTCACTTGTGGGGCTTTTTGGGTTTCCTGACCCCCTGATCTGCCCCTAAATGACTCCAAAATGAGGCCATGAGACGCTTTGGGGGGTTTGGGGCTCAAAGGACCCCCCCAAGTTCTCAATATTGGGGTTATGGGGCTCAGAGGACCCCCCCAGTGCACAATATTGGGTTTTGGGGTGTCCCCCCCCAGAAGAACAGACACTGAGTCACTTGTGGGGTTTTTGGGGGTTTCCTGACCCCAAATCTGACCCCACTCTGCCCCTAAATGACCCCAAAATGAGGCCATGAGACACTTTGGGGGGTTTGGGGCTCAAAGGACCCCCAAGTTCTCAATATTGGGGTTTGGGGGCTCAAAGGACCCCCCCCCTATTTCACAATATTGGGGTTTTGGGGTGTCCCCCCCCAGAAGAACGGACATTGAGTCACTGGTGGGGCTTTTTGGGTTTCCTGAACCCCCAGTCTGCCCCTAAATGACCCCAAAATGAGGCCATGAGACACTTCAGGGGGTTTTGGGGCTCAGAGGACCCCCCCCAAGTTCACAATATTGGGTTTTGGGGGTCCCCCCCCCAGGAGAACGGACATTGAGTCACTTGTGGGGCTTTTGGGGGTTTCCTGACCCCAAATTTCACCCTAAATCCCACCCCGATCTCCCCCAGATTGCCCCAAAATTACCTCAAAACTTCCCCGACCCACATTTGGGGTTCTGTGTGACCCCAACCCCCTCCTGACCCACATTTTGGGTTCTGTGTGTCCCCCAGCCCCAAAGTCCCCTGCCCCACATTTGGGGTTCTGTTGTTCCCCAGACCCACATTTGGGGTTCTATGTGTCCCCCAGCCCCAAAGTCCCCTGCCCCACATTTGGGGTTCTGCGTGTCCCCCAGCCCTGAAGACCCACATTTGGGGTTCTGTGTGTCCCCAGCCCCCAAAGCCCCACATTTGGGGTTCTGTTGTCCCCCTGCCCCACATTTTGGGATCTGTTTGTCCCCAGCCCCAAAGCCCCCAGCCCCACATTTTGGGTTCTGTGTGTCCCCCAGCCCCACATTTGGGGTTGTGTTGTCCCCCAGCCCCACATTTTGGGTTCCGTGTGTCCCCAGCCCCAAAGCCCCCTGCCCCACATTTGGGGTTCTGTGTATCCCCAGCCCCAAAGCCCCCCGCCCCACATTTGGGGTTCTGTGTGTCCCCCAGACCCCAAAGACCCACATTTGGGGTTCTGTGTGTCCCCCTGCCCCACATTTGGGGTTCTTTGT